CCTAATGACCTTGGCTAAGATGGTTTAACAAGATGACTGGCAATATAATGTGCTGACATATTACTGGGCAACAATTCTGCTTTCACAGCTTTATCAAAGTGGAGTGACTAGGTAAAGTGAATCATCTTACACCAGGAATGAGCAGGCAGGGGCTCAAGAGGTAAAGCTCATGGGCTTCAACTCCCATGAGCGTCACCTCATTTCTTCCTATCTGTCCAACCACAGACATGATACCTAATAATACCTAAAATAATTAATACCTAAGAAGGAAAACTGCACGTAGGCAGGGACATCCCTGTGGACAGAAAAGGTTGGGGTAAAATGGAGAGGATGCCCACTTCTCCTTCAGCAGAGTATGCTGAAGCCAGTGAGATTCCTCCAGCTTTGAACCAGTATATCTAAGAACCAAATCTGGTTCTGCACTTGGCAGAAGCACAGATACAGAAACATGATGCACAGCCAGATCTTCAAATAAAGATCTGCTAGATTAAAGGGCAGATATACAGTACATGTTTTGCTTCCCTGGTAGCCTGGAGAGAACCACCCAGACTTCTAACTTGTGCACGTATACTTTCAAAAGGGCAAAAATGTTGCTTTCATAAATTAATTTCACACACTTTACAGCGATAAAAATAATCACTGTGACATTTTGTTTGTCTTCCTTTTTTCCTGTGTGCAAGCAGCCAACTCTCAATTACTTACAGCCCTAAATTTGTTCCGCTCAATTGTGAAAAGCCCCCGCAATATTCAACAGGAGGAGAAGAATTCTGATTTGTGGAAAGTCATCGTGTTTGCAAAGAAAGCAAATTTCCTCCTCTCCCAATATGCTGTATATATCAGCCAAAACAAGACTCTTATACCGAGTGCCAACTGGTATGAATTCCAACCATTTTATGTATTATATATTAATGTTATAAAAATATGCACCCCGATTTTTTATAACAAGAGAATTTGTTGTGGCAATATCTGACACCACTTCTGAACTGACGTAGATGTGACAGCCTAACAAAAAACATGCCTGCCAGCATGATGGCATTGGTTATGGATACAGAATTGCCTCGACAAATCACGAGGTTCTGTACTGGCTTTTCTTCAATAACAGCCATATCAGACTTGCTGAGCTTTTCTCCAGCTACTTATTACACCCTAAGCTCAACCAGGTCTAGAAAAAAAATCAGGTTTGGATTATATTTTTTCCTATATATTGCAAGTAACAGAAACTGCACAGACACTACTTTGTTAATTTTTTTTTTTGTTGCTGCCTAGTGGATGACTGCCCTGGGTACTTCAGCTGGATCAATGGAACCCCCTTACTTTTTCCTACAAAATCTCATCTTCATTATCCTCCATGAGGGAAGATGTCTCATAGGAGACATCTCTGTGGTTTCAGTGTGTGATGAAGGAAAGCATTACATAAACTCAGTGAGGGCTCTGGAGATTGTGTGTGTATGTGTAATATGCACAGACTGCTATGAAAGTCTGGGATTGGTACACAGGTTTTTGTCAAGTTTGCTGAATACAGAGTCAAGGTACAGCACTGGATACGATCACACATGGAAGCTTGGAAGAAAGCTCCTGTTCTGTGAAAACAGGCAGGGATGATAGGCAAGTGTTAATTGGGACAAAATGCCTTTTCAGTGCAATTCTTGTCTCCTGGTGTTTCGGAACCTTAAAACCTTGGCTGATAAGGTATCTGAAGATATCAGACCACATAATTATGTATTTTCTCATGCAGATTCAATGGTGGTGCAAATCAAAACTGTTGCCAAGGCAGTGGACATAAGTGTATGTCCTGTACCACAAGCAAATGATGCACAACCGGCATGTGTGGAAGAATGAGACACTTGGATAGTGAGTGCAGCCTTGTCCCTTCAATTGTCCTCCAGTCTCACAAATTGTATCTCCAAGACTGGCACACGTACTGATTAGTGGGTGGTTATGACAGAAGTGAATTAGATGTTCTATTTACATAATTACCCAAAGGTATGACAAAGCTGAACACTGTGATCTCTACTCACACAGTGAAAGACGGTAGGAATAGCTCATGTAGACAGGGAAACCTCAGGGCTTCAGGCTGCAGGGGCAAATGAGTCTATGGACCCATTGAGAGGGCCACAAGTGCCTTTTAAATTTCGTGGTCAGTAGCACGGGGACACCCCGACCGCAGCAGGTCCTCCCCGGGGCACGGGGCGATGCGTGCGGCCAGCTGCTGGCTGGGATTAGGCTGATCTGCCCCTGCCAGGTGCTGGTGTTGTGCCCCTTCGCGGAACATTTTTATGTGCTGATCACCTCCCACATAGGAGACAGCTGTTCCTTCTCCTCCTTATCCAAGCGCTTGCTTCCCTTTAACCTTTGGTTTCTTAAACTGCCAGCTTCTGGATCGCAGTCCTGGGAAATGGACAGCTGTCTCCTTGATCAGTCAATCTCGTTGGTTTCAAAGAGTAACCCTGCAAAAGCTGGTGTAAAACATCTCTTTGGGAGCAAGCTGCTTTTCCTGGTTTTCCCCTTTCACTTTCCCTTTCTGTTCCCTTTTTTTCCTTTTTCTTGTCTCTTTCCCTCTTCTCCTCCATCTCCCTCTCCCTCAAAACATTGTAATTGCCAGGTATTTTCTGTCAGACCACACGAGGCTTCCCCCTAGACTCTTCTGGTAAATTCTAGACTCTCTGTGTGCCACACTTATTTTTTTTCTTAGTTTTCCCTTCCAGAAATCCTACTCTTTTATGCTTGTTATGGCTACAAAATCACCGCAGCTACAGGAAAACGAGAGGTCCCATTTTCTAATCCTGATGGTGTGTGTGGAACTCATTTCCCCTTCAGCAGCATGTTATTAATTAGTATTATTAGTATTCTTAGTAGTAACTGTGCAACATGCATTGCACAAGTACTGGGCCCGAAACCAGGACCCCACTTCAGGCTAAAAATGCTTAAAAAATACAGGAACACATGAAAACACGAGTAAGACGCAACTGTACTGCGGGGACAGGTACCAAAATGCCAACGATGAGTAGCCCCAAAGAGATTGTTCTAATAATTTGCATGCTGAACATCAGCTGCTTTTAAGTGAGCATTGCAGATGAAAAGACCAAAGAATACAGAAACTTACTGGAAGGCAGCGAAAAGAAGGCATGTGCAACCCTGCAGCACTGAGGGTTTGTGGCTGTAGAGCTGAATTAAACATAATTCAGCTGTATCAATGCCAGAAATCTCAATAAACTGTGCTTCAACCAAGATCCTGGTATGCTATGTACCAGAAAGTGAAGAAAAGGATATCCCAGCAAGGCAAAACAAGCATCATCAGCTTTTCTCATGCACTACGCTGCTGTTTGTAACAGTGAGTACATTTCCCCATTGGAGGAGGTTCTTCTGCGGGGTCTGGGGAGGTGAGGCTGTGCAAACCCTGCCAGGCTCATCAACAGAAATGAAATACAGTGCCTTGGATCTGAAAAGAGCGAGAGAGTGCTGGACCTGGCTTTGCACTTCACAAGTTTGTGTTCTCAGGTTACAAGTGAAAAGGGCCACCTAGAATGAAAGTGGAGGCTGGTCTCACAGGCTTAAGATGGCAAAGATGTTCCAACACTGAGACAAAAATGAGGCTGTCTTTCCCATAGTGATTGCATGTACTGTCTCATGACAGAGCTAGACCTCTGAAGACCCAGGACATGTGGTTCTTCTGGGCAGACCCAATGCTGAAATTTCATATTTGATGGGAAAGGAAGGTCCAGTCTAGACTGGAAAAAATACTGTGCAGTTTTTGAGTGTGCAAAGCCCAGTAAATCCCATAGACAGAACCTGCAGAGACATTTGTCCTCCCTTAGCCACAGCCACATGAGAAAATCTGCAGTAGCCAAGAAAAAGCAGTCAATGTAATGAGATGACTCTCACCCAGCCCTATGTATCATTACTTACTTTATCTTCCAAGACAAATGTACAGGTATTGGGCCCTGGTCCAGGAAAGCACTTAGGGCTGTATTTTGATAGCATGCAGAAGAACAGTACTTTGCTCAGCAAACAGCACCAGTGAAGTCTTTGAGGCAATTTCTGGAGTCAGATTTGCGCAGTATAAAGGCATCAGCATTTGTTTCCTGGGCATTTGCGTAGTGCTAACTCCAGTGATGCAACTCGCTGCTGGAAGTTATTTGTGTGTGCGTGTGCTCTGATAATAGACCTCACTGAGTACCCAAGGCAAGGAAAGAGGCAGACCTTCCTCTCTGATTCACACTTGAAGACTGCTCTGAAAGCAAGGCCAGCAAGGAACTTCCAGAATTTGGGAATAAACTGTTCAGACAGAAAGCCAGAAGCACCTCTAGATGGAAGTCCGAATACTCTAGATTAATGTTGGACTAAGTGAGCCACATTCCTCCCTCCAGGCCCCCAAGAAGATCCCCAGCATGCAGCCTAAGCCTCTTGACCAGTCCTGGGGAAATGATGTGGGGAGCAGGTGATCTTGAAAATACCCTGATTCAGAGCCCAAGGAGAGAATTCCATTGACCTAATTGAGTTTTGGATCAGAGCCTGCAACAGCCTTGTCCAGATTTGAATTTAAGATCTGCATAAAATAGTGGTGGTGGTGGGGAAAAATAGACAATCTTCTGATATAGTGACAAAGAAGTTTCACCACTAAATGAAAGAGTGCTCATCATTTCAATGAACAGAAATCAGGTTAAAAATTCATTTAGGAAGTTGGATTAATGCCATCAATATAGGAATCGATTCAAGGTAAGGTATAGAATGACAGCAAAAACTAGTGCCACTCTGATCATGATTGGTTGGTGACTGTTATGCTTACTGCAACTACAGTTGACTCCAAGGCCCTGGGCACTTCATGGCAGTAAATGAAGACACTATTCCTTTTATTCCAGGTGTTAGTATTGCAAAGGTATGAGGAAGAGATAGAAGTAATGAGGTGACAGTGTTACCCAGTGGAGCTATTTTGATGGTTCAATAAAAGCTGTTTGTGGGTTTTTTTTGACATTGGATAGCTGGTCTCCATGGCTGTTGAGACAGGCAGGGTCAGCCTATGGTGGGCCAGAGCACACCATAGCTCCCTGTGTCCCCCACACCTGGGCTTCTGTTTTGCAGAAGTGCAGCAAAGATGAGAGGATGAGTGGGTATCGGTGGGTCCCAGTGGGTTGAGGTACCTAGCAAGACCCGGGAATTTGGATGTTTTCCCAGGTTCTCACACCAGGAATATCAGGGACACAAAAGGCTTGCTCCAGGTTACACAAGAAGTCTGTGGTGGATTAGGCTGGCTTCTAAACCAGTACTCAAACAACCAGATTTACATGGTACTGGGAGAACACACCATTCACAGTGGGCAGCATGTGGATAAGGTAGAGGAGGGAATGATCAGCCAGTGATTGTGCATACAAAGGGCCATTACTCATTATTTACTAACTCAATGTCCAACCTGTACCTGCTGTTGCAACAGCGTGTGCTTTAATCATATTAGAAAAATTGCACTTCTGCTTCCAAAATCAATTTCATGTAGATGTTGCTGCCATTATATACAAGGCCAGATCCTCAATACGGCAATCAGAAGAGTTCTGTTGACTTTGGAGAAGATGTAATGATTCATATCTGCTGGGGAGCTGATCCTCAATCACAGAACGTTGAGATAAGAGAAAATGTTGAGCTGTGATGACTGAGCAGCATCTTGAGAATGATTAACAGGCTTCCTTTCTGGGGGGGATGGGAGAAATACAGTCTATGTGCAGAGAGGCGGCACCCATCATAAATAGTAATTAAATCCCACGTGAGCTTTATTTTGAAGGTGTAAGTGGAATAAAAACAGTGCATAGGAGATAATTTTATGAGTAGGCTTTGATCTGTTTAGAACATGGTGGACTCAAGTCGGAAATTTGGGAAGACTGAATTAAAATGCAACACCTAACACAAAAATAAAAGGTTGCTGTGTATCATGAAGGGACACCCACCGCATATACAAAGCAGAGGAAAAAAAGTTGTCCATCATTACCTTGTTTCCCTGAGCAAATGGCAGCATTTTACTGCAGGACACACCAGGAGCAGGAAGCTCACCCCAAGGTTGATAGAAATTTCCTTTAGGATGTGTCTGCCAGCTTACAAAGGGGGATTGGCAGCCTCCCTCCCCCAGTTGCCACCCCAGCTGGAATATCACACCCCGGCGGTAGCTCTCGGGGGACAGCAGTGAGCCAGCATGTGCAACAACTGTTTGAAGGGGGCATTAAAGCATGTCATAAAAGCTTGCAGCCAGAAGCAAGACAGGAATGTTTTCATGAGGCATCCATAGGTTATGAAGTGCTGGGTGTGCAGACAGCTATTAAATACAAGTCAGAGAGCAAAGCACTCACAAAACACAGGAAACCACATGTTCATTTCTTCTCAAGAAGCCAAGAGAGCAGAAAGGCAGCGTCCCAGGCAAAGTCCTTGTCCCCTTTCTCTCATGTCAAGCATTCAGGTTGGCTCCTGCTGTGGATCCGCTGCTCATGCACGGGAGTGCATGGCAGTAACTGGCCAGTGCCAGGTGACATTGATGAAGGGATGGCTATGTGATCAGCTGTAGGGTGCTCCTCCTCCCCTCCAGGATGAGGCAGTGATGCTGCCTGTGTGGCCATGTCCAGGAAACCAGGAGAAATTGGCTTGAAGGAAATAGACCTGTTTTAAATTGCCAGGGTCGGCTCTTCAGATGGGCAGCCTGGAAAAGTCATTGCAGCTACACCAGTATAAGGGACCTACTCCTAATTTTATGGATGTTTACACGCTGAGTTTTGTAGCAATCCACCAGGACTGATTACCTATCCATGCTGGAAATGGAGGGTCAAGAAATTAGAATTTTGCTTTGAATACCACCATTCCTTGTGGCATATCTGTGACTGCAGCTGAGCAACCCACCTTCGATTTCCTCTACTCCAAACTATTTCCTTTTTTGTTTTATGGGGGTTTAAATTGTAGTTACCACTTAATATCAAGTGTGGCTGACTAACTAGTGGATTTGCACCGTACAGTACAAGGTAGGGGAGCACATGACTAAACAGAGGACAAAGAATTGCTTAAAATGGCTGAGTACTAAAAACCTCTCCAGCCGCGCCAGTACGTACTCATTTGTGGGTTTTGTAATCTGTTAAATATTTTTCAATTCAGTATTTTTCTTAGTTTGTCATGGGTTTTGTCCTTCTGGGTTTGGGTTTTTTTAATTCTCTTCCCTGTGAATTCAATGTACTAAAAATACCAACTAACGGTCTCTTTGTGCAGTGAAATCAGGTTGGTGAAAACTGGTTTTGTGCAAGCAGCATGATAAAAGGTGCGTTCAGAAATATATCCAACAAGTAAGGTCTCTGCAGGGTGTAAGTCTTCTGAAAAGGGAAGCTGAATCCTGCAAGCCCATCCATTGCGGGCTTGTGCTGCTATTGAAGACAACCATGAATACGGTTTTGCAGGATCAGGCCCCAGAGTTCAGCATGATTTACTTCCTGTCTGCTCTCCACAGCATTTAACAGCTGAAATAAAACAAGGAATTAATTTCTGTTTTAAATTCTTGGCAAGCAGCTTCATCTCATTGCGTATCTTACATGGGAATCAAAGGATCCTGCCTTGTTACAGCTACTCGCGGAGTAAGGACTCGAGGGAGATCAAGGTATTTGCTGTCTCAGATGAAAATCAGGTTCTGACTGGTGGTATTTTCAGTAACAGTTAACAAAGCCACATTGCTAAAGAAAAGGCAATATCATGGCTTCTCCGTTTTTTTTCACTCTTGCCCTAGTTATGGTTCATTTTTCGGCCAAACAGTTAACCATTTCTGCAGTGCTTACCCAGTACCCTGCTCTTCCTGGTGGCTTCTATCTAACTCTGTTTTATTGTGAAGCATTGGACTTTTGGAAAATATAGCCACCAATTTGGTGGTAAACAAGCCTTGGCTTTAAGACAAAGCTTGTTTTAATCTCCATGATCAGGCTACAGATCTGACCATGTATTTTATCAAACCTCTTGTGAAGAAATCCTATTCATGATTATTATCTATATGAGAATAAAAATGTCTAATTACCTTATATTAAATCTGTATTTATCAATTGTAGCTTTCTCTGGGAAATTGTAATTTGCAGAAATGCTCCACATTCCAGGCTGTAACAGTTGGAGGTGGATGTCCTTAAGGATGGGAAAAAAAGTTCCTTTTTAAATGGCACATTTACTAATTATAAAATGCTCTTATCTCTCTGCAGCCAAAGCCAAAATGAACATGTGCCTTGCACTAAGAAATCCCAGGATTGTCACAACTTGTGCCAGCTGTTGAGGTTATGACACCTGTGCCAGCATCGCCAGCTCTGCCCACTGTCATCTGTTCCAACTGTTCCATCTGCACTGTTTGTACCAATTCTCCCATTTCTGCATCTGTACCTTCTGCAGAAACGGGTCCAACAATGCCAGCTGTGTCATCGGTGCCAAATATGCCAGATGTTCTATTTGTCCACCCTGGGCCAAATCAATGTAGTTTTGTGCTCATTAGTTTTAGCTGGTAGATTCTATTTCACAGTTTTTTGAGATGCACTTAGATCGAATCAATTCTAAATCACCACTACAACTGCTTTACATCTATCTCGCCATAAACAGAACTTTGTTTGTCATCGCATGCTTGGTCAAAATTATTCTGATTTTATTGAATTGTGCACAATGATACAAGTTCTGTCTTCATGACAAGATTATATTTTTCCTGTAGAGGCTGTAGTTGCAGAGAAATGAACAGAAAAAGGTAAGGGTCATGGTATTCAGGCTGTAAATAATCCCCATGTTTACAGTAAAAAATGTCCACCCATTGATATACTGACAGGGAGAGCCCTAGTCCACCAGTGTTCACCAGGAGAAACCCATCTGATGTCAGTTTAGCTGTAGTGAGTATGATAAGCTGCAAGGGACAGAGGAAAGCAAAGCTGTAGATAAGTATTGACCATGGGCATGTTTACCAGGGCTCTGCTAAAGATCTGTTCTCCCTACAACTCTCCTGCTCAGGAGAGAGGGAGCTGTTGTGCTGCCACTGGCCCTGCACAACCAGCTTATGGCTGCACCTGGTCTCTATAGCTTTTCTACTGGCAAGTCTAACCTGTACTGATCTGGGTTACATGTGGTCTGCCTTTTCTGTGCTTCACTAATGACGTAATATTGGAAAGCCAAATCCATGAGTCACTATTTATTTGGATTCATCATTTACTCAAAGGACTGTCCCACTTTGTGTCCTTGGCCACATCTGGGTTCACTGAAGGTGATGGGACTTCTGTGTGCATCACATCCTCTGGGATATGATACTCTGGGTCAGTAGGGAAAGTCAAAATTTGCCACTGCTAAGTACCTCAAAATAAAGTTTGTTGCTGCATAAGAGAGCAAGCCCAGGGTTTGCATCCCTGTCTAATACTGCTCAAAATAGCTTTCACAATAAAATGTAAGTAGGACATAGATGTTGTACTGTGCTGCCCTGAGGTCTGCAGGCGACCGTGATTGCATGGTGCTTGTTCAGCACAAGGGACAAGCCCAGACCTGATCCCTGTGGATCCCAGCTCTGATCCAATAGCTCCAGCATGAACTCTTGACACCATGGTCCAACCTGTGAGTTGATGTGTGCAATGAACTGGGCTCAGTCAGCACCTATGGCCCCATATAGGTGCAAGCACGCTGGACAGCTTGGGAGCCATAAGTGGCATCCTGGCATCCTGGGCCTGCAGTGTTGGATGTGTCACCATGGTCCCATTCGCACCCTCACAACGGCAGAATTACTCCTCCCCACCTCAGACAGCAGTGTGGCATCGGGGAGATGCAGCTCTGCCATGTGGGGAGCCAGAAAACGTCTTTGCGTAAACTCAGTCTGCCGCTCTGAGCTATTGAAGTGAGCAGAGCTGACAGCTCCATGTCAAAGGAAGGTACAGATTAAAAAGTAGTGACTCAGTTAATTTTGGAAAGGGGACTGAGGCAGAAGGGAAAGAGTCATTTAATGGAGAGGAAGGCAGGAGACACAGAAGGAGGCTGGAGGTCCAGCAGTGCCCCAGAGAAGTGCGTGCCAGGGATCTATTCCACTGGCAGCAGAGACCCATGAGGGAGAGGATTCCAGTGATGTTGCGGACAGCTTCGGTCTTGTCCTGCAGCTGTCACAGTGAATCTCATCTTGAAAGCTCCTTGAGCTCCAGGAGGTTACTGCATGCAAGGGCTCCAAACTGTAGTCCTGCCTGATCTGTCCCTTTCTTCCATGGGAGAGAAAACAGAGGGAGCAAATAAGAAAGGTTTTCTGCTTCTGCTTTGGGTAACTGAATTGGCAGCCAATGAGAGGGACAGATTTCTAATTAAGAAAGCTCCTGCAGCTTCTCAGGCAAAACTCTGGCTGAAATCTGTGATTCATTACTTCAGAAATTCCTTGGATTTCCAAACTGTGCAACTGGAGGACACCTCGTCCCCTGCTCTGTGAGCTCTGCCATTGTGGTTGGCGGCCACCTGCCAGGCGTCGCTTTTACTCATACAGCAAATGCCTCGAGATGGGAACTATTTATTTCTATGGTGTTTACAATAGTGTGTCCCTGGGTTTCACTCTGACTGCTGCAAAACACCATCTGACAGTAATAACCAAATAATCCTTTCTCTGCTTCATGGTCATCTGTGTAGGCTATCCCATTGCTGCACTGCTGTGAAGCAATGCATGGGCTTCAGCCCACCCCTTCCTCCTTAGCAGGACCTATGGAGGAGGCTTTGGGAAACATCTCTGAGGTTGTCTTCCTCAACAGCTGAGATGAAAAAGATTTTGTCCCAGGCACAAAGGATCTTTTTTCCTCCAAGTCAGGTTAGCTAGGAACTCTGGGGCATTTTTTGCCTCTTTCTGTCACACTTTCTGCTTTCTGCAGCCATCCAGGAGATTACCTCACAGCCCAGAAAGTGAAGTAACTTCTCTCTCCTGCTCCATTGGCCTTCCACTGGCCTTTCAGTGTTTATTGCAGGTCCTGGGTTTGCTGTGTGGCGCTGCCTGTGTTTGGTGATGGCTGCTGTGTGGTGGCAGGAGGTGATTATCTCCTTACTGGTTCCCACTGTTGGCTTCAGCAGCACAGGTAGTCCTTCTTGCCAGCAGCACCATCCCACTGGGTGTCTCGGGTGGCATCTTCACTGGCCCCTTTGACCTGTTTCCTAATGGCAGGGACATGAAGAAGGGCTTGCTACCCCCACTGTTTCACGCTGCCCTTGATGATGGGTCACATACAGGGTTCTTTCCATGTTTCACTTTAAAAAGAAAGAAGTTTTGGAGGCCAGGGAGATGGAGAACGAGCCTTTCTCTTAAGAGAAGGAATTGTAGCGAGCCCTGAAGGATATTATCAGCTTTCAGTTGTGTCCTGAAGAGACTTACACTCTTTTTTCCCTAATGCCATTGCTTCTTCCCTTTTCAAGACTTCTTGAATTAAATGGATCTCCCTCTTTTTGTCCCAGGCAGCACAGCTGACCCTTTGATAACTCTGTTTGACACCTAGCTGGCAAATGTAGGTCACTTTTATTTATTAAAAGAAAACAAAACCAAAAAAACCCGCAACAAAACAACCCTCCCCCCAAAACCAACAACAACAAAGAAAATCACCAAAACCAAAACCCACCAAGCAAACCCTCCCCCCACCAAAAAAAAAAAACAAAACAAAACCCCCAAACAAGACTAGAAATACAGAACAGCTCCCAGTTTAGCTTGGGGTTAGCTTGTATGGCTTGTAGGCTGAGAGGTCTGTATCTTAAAACCTGGCATTGTGGAGCACTAGCTATTTAAAAATACTCCCTTTGCTCCTTGCCGCTGCTACCAATAACACTAACATGAATGTGCACAGTTTCACACCCCCCCAGATGATTGCCTCTTTACTACTGTGTTTGTAGGCAGCACAAGCCAGAGCCCATTAAAGTCCAGGTCCTGAGTTCACTGGGCATAAATCATATTCAGATATCTTTTTCCTTTTTTTCTTTTTCAATAGCATTTTATAAATAAATAAAAGAATTGAAAGTATGAAGAATTAAAAAATTAAAAATATTTTCTTTTCCATTCTTTCAACAGAGAGGTTATCCAGATTCACTTAGAGGGAGGGTTTGCACGCTGGCAAAAGCAGTGTACTTCATCCCGATTAGCTTCTCTGGCTGGCCTGATCTTGGATCTGGCCAAAGGTCAAAAATGGTCCTCATCCACTCTTGGCAGCTCTGCCTATGAAGAGGGATGCTTCATCAAGAGACTGTCCTACTCTGGTTGCCCCCACAGGGAAATTCTCAGCAGAGCTCAACAGAGCGATGGAAAAGGAATGCAATCGGAACTGAGATTCAATTGAAGAATTTTATACAGCTCCTGTTCTTTCTCAGCTTTTTTGCATCTTTCTGGTTTCATCTGGGTGATGGTAACAAAGACAGAAGGATCTTCTTTAAAATCCTCCATAAGAATTCCTTAAAAAAGGAATTTCCACAGGAAACTCTGCACATGAAAAGCCCAATGGGTGTGCCTGGAAAGGATTCTTTTCTTGCAGGCTTTTGAAAAGAATGAACCCAATTTGTTATATTTAGTTTTTATTGCATTCATTTAACGAATGTCATTACTTGCAGCTTTAAAAATGACAGTGAGTTTATGTGAGCTCTCCTGACACTTTTCTTATTATCCTGGTGGGCAACAGAAATAGGCAGGGGAAAGAGGAGGAAAGCAGCTGAAGGGTGCCAAAACCCAGCGAATATCTATGCAGCAAAAAAAACCATTTAGGTGGTACTGAAAATTTGCAGCATTCAGCAGTGGTATTGGATTGCCTGTAGAAACTTTTTAAAAAATACGAGAATAGCTCATTTGTTGGGTTTTCAAAAAATATCAGATTTCACACTGGGCTGCTATGAAGGGTGGAAATTTTCTTGAAAAATTGTCATTTTATACAACTCTAATTAGCAAACTGTTCATATAAACCCGCAAGCTGTGCAGCAGATTTCACTTCCAACATCTCTACAGACAAGACAGAATTTCACCTACTTATTTACTGATCATGTCGCAGCATCCTTTTCCTACTCGCTGATGACTGTTCAGTGGCTTATGTAAAATGTGCTGGTGATTTCATGGCATTTCCATTGGACAAGTGTCCACATGTTAAAGCAAATCACCGTCACTGGCATGCTCCTGTTGGCAGTCTCATTAAGCAGGAACCAAGGAGCAAAAGATTGAATTATCTTTTCAATGTGAGAGATGGCACAACCAAAGGCAATTGGAAAACATGGATGGGGCTGTTTGGGGTCTTATGTACTACTCTTTCCATCTTGGAATACCTTTCAGCAGCATGAATATTTATGACTGTACTTTGTCCTGTTACAGACAAAATAAGAGATGCCCAAGGGGATTTGGTCAATGCAAATAAAAGCTATGTTTGCAAGCATGAGTAAATCTCAGTCACGGTACTTGGCATTTTGTGTCAAATACAGCTAAAGCGCGAAATTGCAAGAGATAGAAATGATTTCAGAACAGAACTGTTGTTAGAAGGTCACTGGAAAGAAGTGGAGCCTTGAGCAATGTGTCCTCCCTCTTTCAGGCCACGGGTCAGGCAGCGTTGCCTGTGTTTTGTACACAGCCACTTGGGCTTCAGTAATCCTGACTGAATCTCCCATTTCTTTGAGGTGGTAAACTCACAAATACTGGTTGGATCTCTCATTCCTCCAGTAGTCAACTTGTAGCTTCCACTCTTTTCTTACGTGTTTCAAAATGCACTTTTATCCCTGAAAAGTTTTTTATGCTGGAAGAATACTTCAAAGCCACACTCATTGGACACCATGGCGGAGGTTGACAAGGAAAGATAATGCCTGGTTAAAATCAAGCAGATTTATTCCATTCTTACTTTATTGGTAGCCTAATAAAGCAATGAAAAACAAAAAAACTAAAAAGACAGTGCAAGAAGGTTCACACTCTACAAGCACCTGCTCTGTATTTCTAATAAAAAGTTTATCTTCCTTCCCTAATTGTCTTATATCAGGTCACGGTGAAGAGAAAAATCCTTCTAACTGTTTTCATTTAATTTCACTGCTTTTGCCAATATTTAGAGAGATTGTTGATGCATTAATGTTACCTAAATAAGATGCATTTCATTAAAACTGTTACTGATAATATTTAGTCATTCCTTTGTATGTAAATAAAGTGAAATTTCTCAGAGTAGAAACAAGTCAAGTGAAAGTTTCCCTGTGCTCTTCACATGTCTCTGTAAACTTACAGCATTCTCAGATACGGTGTCTTCGATTTCAAGGACTAGAAAGTATATAACATGATTTTTTGTTCATTTTGCCTACAGTCATTATGACTTCCAGTTCAAACTACACAGAACAATAAAATTAAACTTATATATGCTTTATTTTATTTCTTTTATGTTGTTTTTTATCTGTGCATGTCCTATTTATTTGTTCATGTATATATACATTCATTTACAGATAATGACCACCTCAAAGTATGCTTTCCCAGATGCTTTATTCTCTGATTTTAGATTTTGCTATTTTCAATTTGGGGAAGCTTTAAAAACTATTTTAAAGTTTTTCACTGTGGATAATTTTTATAATTTGTCTTAAACAAGAACTCAGACAAATCTGTTCGTATTTATCTTTCTCAGTACTCAATAAATGCCAATCCAATAGCTCATTAGAGTTTAATATATACTTATTAGGGCTTGGATTTTCTAAGCTGTGCATGGTACAGTCCCTCCCAAGACCCATGAGCTCCCTTTGGACATCCAATTTATTTTATGTTTTAGATACTGGCATAACTCAATTTATGAGCATAACTCAATTTTTGCATGAGGTGCCTGCTTAAATTCATGTGCATTTATTTATTTTTCTATACTTTCAACCTTTGAAGCTCCTATAAACTGAAATGAAAAACAATAAGTAAGTGTAAAACCAACAGATCTCTTTGTAGTGTCATAGCTGCAGGTTTTTACTATTTAGAGATCAGCGGAGCATGGTCACAGGTATATTGAATTCAGGGTCAAGTATTTTCTGTACCTTTACAAATTGGTGACAAAGCTTTTACTGCCTTTGGGAGATTATTAATGTGCTTTGCCTGATTATCCCTCTTCTTTGCAAAGCACTACAGTTGTTTTGTGTGAAACTAAGGACTCTCATCCTTTGTTTTAGGTTTGACTTCACGATTAAATCATGATGATAAACCAGCTACTCTTGAATTTTATCATCCTGATAGGTCACGTAAAAACAGAAGTATATTCACTGCAGGATGAAATAGAAAGAAAAGGTGGTTTAGAAAATGCTCTTCTAAAAGGCCGTTATTTTAAAAGGTATATCATAGGCCAGAATGATGAATAAAGATCATGAAAATAATAAATCATAAAAATGCCTGTGTTTGTTTTCACCCTGTTGCTTTTTACTCACATTTGGTTCAGTATAATGCCTGCCAGCGCTAAGTGGGTCATTAAAACCTCCTGTGCAACTTGAGTTATGCTGATTGTTGTATTTTGCCCTTCATAACCCACGGCGTCAAACTGTGAGAGAAGGTGATTGATAATAGAAGAACAAGTGTGGAGGTGAGAGGAGAGGCCTGTCAACATTTAAAGCACAAATTTGTAGGCACATCCAAATCACTTCTTCAAAGCATTTTAACTGTGGGGATGGGCAGCATCTCTAAGGGTGCAAATATGGAATAATTTGAGTTCTTCACTTAAATAAAGTAAGGTATATGGCAACACACATTCAGTGCTAGTGTTGGGTCCTCTTCAAGTAAGAAGAGAATCAAAGGTGTGCTTGCCTAATAAAGGCATAACCAGAGATAGTTATTGAATTCCTTAATCCATTCAAATACATGCTTTTGTACAGTTCTGGAGAAGAGACTTTATCTCCTGAATTAAACATTGGCTTTGTGATAAAAAGCTCATGGAAGATCAAGAAAGATTCTGACATCAAAAATATTCATCACCAAAGACATTTCTGAAGGCTGAAACGCTGAAGCTGTATGTAATTACGTAATGTCAAAAGAAAGCTATCCCCATGCAGAAGACCAGCGCAAGTCAAATGGAGTTTAAAGTCCTTGATCACTTTATTAGTAGGGTAGTCATGGTACATAGGACTCATGCTGTTCATATTATATAAGGATGATATTTTCTGAAATGGAAGAAAGATTGGGTCAGAAGTGCATATTTATGATTATATTTAAGATGCCAGTTTTTGAAAAATACATCAAATTTGTTCTATTTTTGTCATATGCATTTAAAATATTATACCTTGTTCTTCAGATTTCCACTTTTTTAAAAAGGATTTTCATGTGCAAGGACCAGCTTCAATAAAACTTGTAACTTGAACAACAAATAAAGGAAAATAATTGCAGTGACTGCGTTTGGAAGCCCAGTTGTGTCACCTGGGTTTTACAAATAGGAGTTTCCTTGAAATGTTGCTTGACATACGCTATGCTGTTTCCTATGAAATTTCAAAAATGTTGTCATTTACCAATAATCATGATCCTCTTGGAAGCTTAACGTAAATTAGACTATTCTCTACCATAGGAAATATCCTGTAATTTGTGTTGAATGCTGCTTCTTCTCCCCCGTAGGGACCACTAGATGGTACTCCATATTGTTCAAAAAGTTCACATCAGGAGCGATATCTAATCAATCTTTAAGAAAAACAAAGCCTGAGTGGGCAGGGATGGCAAGAAAGAGAGTGAGGTATGGAGAAATGCTGGCAGAAGTCTTGGATCTTTAGAGGCTCAGGGTTTGACCAGGAAAGCTCACAGCTTGTCATCTGATGAGAAGGTAAAGAGAACATAGAAGAATCATGAAGGGGACATAAGAAAGGAAGTTTCATAGGACTGACTATGTCAGTGAACTGGAGAGAGTTCCTCATTTCTCCATGGGGAAATGTCATTAAAAGACATGATCACAGGTACCATTTTAGTATTTATAAACTGGATTGCTAGCTTATCATTTGACTTTCGTTTGCAGAAATACTGCTCCCACCTCTCTTGTTGCAGTGGAGACAACATAACATTTTCTGCCCTTACTTCTGCTGACCTCTCTGTTTCAAGGGCCTTGTTGGCTATAGCAGGAGATGTTATTGTAGCACAGGTGCAGAGGAAGGGGTAATGGTGCAAACCCTTCTTTTAGTAGCTCCAAGTTCAGACTCAATTTGCTAGAAATTTAGCAGATGCCAAACAAATATAATCTGCCTTTGCATAGCTCTGCTAGAGGAAAATTACTATCACAATGACATCCTTGGAAACAATAGGCTTTTTGGGAAGTGCAGCAATTTCTTTAACTTGGTATTGATCATTTTGCTTATTATCAGTGATTTGAAGAATCTTTGCAGGCAGGCAGACTAGGCTCTCCTGTGTCTGGTTTCTGTGCTGTTCCCTGGAGGCAAGCTGGGCCACCTGCAGAACTGAAATGCCTAGCACCTACCAGGCTGTCCCCGTCTTATACTGAGGAAAACCTTGAGAATCCCACCTTGCTCTGTGGTGCTTCCTGGGGTGTAATCATGCTCCACCAGCTGACCTGGAAGGCAGATGAGATCTGCCGGAGGCTGAACTGGATTCAGAGGGCCTTCAGTCCAGTCCACAGCGGTGCCAGGTGCTTGCCATTGGGGTGCCCTTACCTTCAAGAGGGTCCTTAGTCACAGTGCTTCAGTTACAGTGTAGACACAGCCAGTGTTTTGGATGCTATGTAAATATTCAGCCCTACATTCTGCAAATCCATGATCAACATTAGCATTTCAGTGGCTTGTGCAGCCTCTGAGTGCTGGATGACATTGTATTTGGCAGCAGGGCTCTTCTCAGGGTATAGGGTGCCCAGGTACTGCAGGAGAGACTGGCTTTCTGTGTATCAGCTTGCTGTCTGCACAACCCCTGCAGAGAACATATAGGAAGGATGGCAAAAATTGGGGAAATCCTAGAATTCTGTGTATCTTTGGAAACCAGAGCTGAATGTCTCACTTAGGGCTGTTGGGAGCCCTAAACAAATGGATAGTGAAAGATGCTGGCCTGAATTGCCTTGTCTCAGGTCCCTCTCTATAACATGAGTATAACCCAAGCGCTTGTGGTCATAGGAGCGTTGTGAAGGACAGTGATCAGAATTCATAGTTAGAGATCTGACGAGAAAATGATGAGAATAACAATCTGATATTCGGTGCAGAGTTTGATTCACACCCTGTGAGTGGGGGCAACTTAAAGTTTCATGGACAATAGTACAGTTCCTCCTTCTTAACTGTGATTATTTGCCTTTGCAGCTACAACATACCTTTAACACCTTAAAAAGCCACCACTGACTTCAGCGGAGCTGCACTGCCCTGTGTCTGCTGAAGGTTTCCCCTGTTATAATTTTGTTGGACAGATACAATGTCTTATCATTGATTATCAAGGTCTTCAAAACTCAGCTTCCATTTTTTTTCCTAGGAACTTAAGTAAAAGTCCTAAAGGGAAAACAAACATCCAGGATGAATCACTGAGAGTTTTTTGTGTGATTAAAAAGAGCTGTAAATAGAACTCAGGGTGGTGGCAAGTTATGGTACTGAGACATTTATTATTTGTAAGGTCAAAGAATTATTTATCAAAGAAATGGGAACACTGTGACTTGGCACGTCAGTGGTTGAAATAAGTACCATCCACCATAAAAGAAGTATCTGTTGCTGTACTTGTTTTGTATCTTTAAAAGTGTCTCTTCGTTTCAGAAATCCATCACATCTCCTCTCCCTTAATTGAGGAAAGTATGTGAATGTTTACCACTTTGGCCTGAGTCTTACAGGCAGGGAAATCACACAGTAGAGCCTTCAGCACTATGATACCCTGAAGACACTGCTTCAAGTGACAGAACAGCCTTAAAGGGCTAAAATGAAGAGAGATTTGGTGAACTTCCAGAACACGGTTGAGCCAGGAGAGGGATTGTCTGAGCCTTTGCTTGTAAGGGCCACTCAACGCTGCTGTTCAGCAAGAGGCTTAGCAGGCAGCAGGTGTAGGATGCCTGTGGCTGCTATAGTCGATGTGGCTTGGCAGGGGTTGTGATGGTGCACGATCATATTTTGAGCTTCTTCAAAGGAATGAAAAGAATGAACAGAGGTTACTGTAGTGCAGTATCAACAGAATAACCCCCATTCTCCACTTAAAGTAATAATCCTCTCTTTGTGAGCACCAGTAATCTGCAGCCAGCACGCACAAAGTAGTTTGTAATTTTCTTTCACTTCTGCACAACCTGCAATAGAAAAACACAGACGATACCCAAAATAACTTGGCAAGACATTTGCTTATGTGTATAACAAGCAGAAATGAGCAGGAATGCACTAAAAAGAGCATTGTAAAGCCTGAACTGTTCTTGGTGGGCTCATGGTAATCTCATGGCATCGCGTAAATTTCCACTTGT